TGTTTTCGGAAGAAAAATTAAACGAGACATGAATCACTAGTTTATCAGATTTTTGGTAAAAACTTATGAAAAATACATTTTGAAATGCGGGTAATATTTCCGTCTTTAACAGATTCAATTAGGCCTGGGTAACACTGTGTTGAGTTGCGCTATTCAGTTGTTGCCGCTCTCTGAGTTAACGGGTTATAACTCATCGGTTAATGAGTTATAATTCATTTTTTAAAGTTTTACGAGACCCCAGACTGGAATTTTCACATCTAAAAAAGCGTTATTAACATTTTTTTCTCAGTAACGTTTTACTACATTGTTCAAACAACTAAAAAAAAGTAATCTAGATTTTCCCAGCAACCGAACTGAGTCCAAAGATAATCGACGAGTTTTCTTGTAAAATCAATCTCTTAATTTTTTTGCATAAAAGATTCAGTTTGCCAGTATTTTACAGTAAAACGTTAGGAAAAGATTTTTCCAAATAAATGAACATTCTTTTCCAACTTTCGCCTTTTCAGTTCGGGGAAATATTTTCGGAAAAAGACATAGGAATAATCATTAGGGTTTTGTCCATAATTTGAAGCTGCAAAAAGTTTTCCAAACATTTTTGCAAAGCGGTTAAGGAGGCGAGTGTTCCAATAAAATGTATCTTATAATTCTCCACAGAAAATACCTGAATATTGCCAGTATTTTAAGTAACATTAAAAAATAATGCGATTTTTGCGTAGACAGAATTGCTTAATAGAAACTTTGTTAAAACTGGAATGACCTGAAAATTTGAAAAGAACTTTAGAAATCTTCAGAGCGATGAGGGCCGCGAATTTTTCCAATAAGTTTTTGTAAACTTTTGCTCTCTAATCGTTTTTTCAAGATTGTCCCAATTACTATTGGTAAAAAACTGAATAAAAATATTTGATTTTTGTGCCAAACTCGAAGCTGGAAATGGTTTTCTAAAGTTCCCTGCAACCGATGAATGAGGCGAGTTTTCTAGCAAAATTAATGTTGTCATTTTTGGCTGAAAAGGCCCCATTATTGTCAGAAAAGAAGGAACTCATCCGAAAATAATGGTTTTTTGAGTTTTCGATTAAAAACTTTTAGTTTTGTAATCGATTTTGGAGAAAACCTTAATGGTTTTCTGAGAAAAACGGGAGGAATTTATTTTCGTTTTTGTTTCGAATTCGACGCTGAAAAAGGTTTTTGTAAAATGTTTACAAAGCTATAAATTTATCGTAATTTTTCGCGTAAAATACCTCCAGATCGTTCACTACGGAAAGCCGGTTGGGGAACCATACAGGGTGATTCAAAATTGGCGTCATTCCTCTGGAGGTGTTGCCTGGCGCTGTTATAGGAGTACAGAAAAAATTGTAAAATAAATTAATTGTTATTAAAAACTGAGAAATTTGCAAAAACCTAGATCAGAAATACGGCAGCAATGTTTTTCAAGGTAATCTGCCTAATTAACATTGCGCAAATACCTGTGGATTCGTAATTATTTAAAGCTGACAATAAGATAGACAAGGATAAAAGGTAAATTCAACAAGATTTGTTGACGAAATGTCAACGTGTTCTCATAACCTCGAATGTCCAGCAAACATTTGAATGGTTCACTCGAAACAAGCTAGTGCTTGTGTAATCTCCTTAATATCCATTCTTATCAAGCAGCTTCTCGTATTCAGTTAATTAACTCCTGCTCCATTTGTATTTCCTTGTGCTGTGTGTATCGTACCAACGTGGTAGGAATGTAGCCCTCGGTATTTATTTGGTGCCTGGGAAAGTGTCAGTTATTGTGCTCTGAGTGCCCCTGGAAGGCCCTGATTCAGTTATGTCCAATACGTGTTCCCCTGCGCCTGGAACCCAACATCTATCGTCCAATATCTTCCTGGAACCACTCTCCTCACCCTTTGTTGGCGTGAGTTCTTTCAGGTTCTGCTATCTTACTGTAGCATTTCCCTTGAACTAATCGCATATCCGCAAATTCGTGAAAGGAAATTCAAAGTAAGTCACAGTTTGACAAATTATTGTTATTATCGACCAAGGCTATCCACCTGTAACTATCTGTTAATGACAAAAAACATCATTGCCGCTGTGCCTTTTCATAAAAAAATTGTAGAAGAGAACTTTTTTGATACCAAAAATTTTCGTAATTTGAAGCAAAGATCGTAAGTTTTGTTTTTAAATGCCTAAGTATTCCAATATGCTACCAATTAAACATGGAACCAGTTCAAAATAATGCTTAATAATAAAGTTGAAATTCGATCTTCAACTGTTAATATCTTCTAGAAATTTTCGAACAAATCATTTTCAATATTTTTCTCGTACTCCCCAAGGGAGCCTTTATCACCCCTTAAAAGGAATGACGCCAATTTTGAATCACCCTGTATATGCTTGGCTGTATCTTTCTCTTGGTCTTCTCCAAATAAAAGCTCCCCATCCGAAGATTTTAAACCCACTCTTCATCAGAAAATAAGACTTTCTTCCAGTCATCCAAATCCCAATCCACGTGTTCTCGAGTAAACTCAAGTCAACTTGCTTGTCGGCTATGGTTAAGAGAGGACCTTTTGCGTAATGTTCTGCACTCAATTGGGACTCATTGAGCCTTCTTCTTGCCGTTTTGGAAGAAATTAACATTTCGGCCGTTTAGAATTTTTTATTTAATTTCCGGTAATAAACCGATTTCTTAAAGCTTGCAGTCGCATAAAACGATCGTCCACTTGGTTTGTGGATCTTGGTCGGCCTTGCCCTGGTCGTCTAGCATGGCAAACTGTTTCCTTAAAAAAAGACATCAACCAATGGTGGTGTGATGAACACCCAACCTTCGGGCGACCTCACGTTGGAAATATCCTTCTTCCAACAAGGTGACAATTTTGACCGCATCAAACTCACTTAAATTTCCTCCTGGGGACATTTCAATGCGAATACACTTTAGTTACACACAAGTTAGGAAAAACGGAAGAAAACTGAATCGAAAACAACACCACACACAAAGTCGCAAATGACACAAAACAAGTAGAAACTTGCATTGGAATGAACGGAAAGGGACCAAAAACAATTGGTACTGCACAATGTTCTGATGATTTATTGGAAAATGTATAGGTGGTGCGCTAATTTTGTCCATCAGTGTGTATATCTATACCTACAAAACAGCATAAAATACGACATGTTTTCTGCGGCGGTTTCCCTAGATTGAACCAATTGAGCCAGTAAAAACAATGGTTGTACAGGGTGGGCCACTAAGAGAGGTGGTCGGCCATATCTCACAAACTATTAGTCGTATCGATTTCAAGTAAAAAAATATATAAGTAAAGTGGC